TCATTTCCACTTTATTATCGCTTTCTGGCCCCCGTGTGATAACGTCCTTAGTCATCTTGCCTCTGGGGAGATGTCAGCCTTGATCTGCTCTGGGACCCCTTTGTTTGTCTTTTTGTCCATCCATGGGATCCTCAGCTCCTTTCTCCAGCACCGCATTATCTCAAATGAGTTTATTCTACCAGGTTCACCTTAGGACTCACCTACATTCACCTTAGAGTCGCCATAAGTCAGAAACAACTTGAAGACACGCAACAACATAATATTTATTATCACATGACCTTGCAACTTTCGTTTACTGCAGCAGGCCAATAATGGAAATGGGAAAAACGCCTTCTCTGAAGTTCAGAAATTTATTTTCATGATTATCTGGATGTTGCACTTTTCCTCCCGTAGCTGTTTGTGTGCATCTAAATTTATACAGATATATGTCAGGTAAGGATGACATTTCATCCAAGGAGTAGAGTGTAATCTCCAGAAATTATGTCTTAGTACATTTAATCATTAAGGCATCATGATGGCTGTTTTCTTTTTTTGTATTTGTTGTAATTGACTCAACTGCCCCCTCAGAAATCTGTTTTATTGGCTTATGTGTAATTCCAAGGAATGAATCCAGTCACGAAAAACAGGTTCAGGTACTAAAGTCTGGGGAAAATTAGGCCCTGGAAGCAAGGGTTCCCAGCTCATTGTGCATACAGTCTAGAACAACAACACAATTTTCTTTGAGTTTGGTAGAGCATATTCCTGGGTATATAAATGGTGATATTCCTGGATATATAAGTTGTAATATTCCTGGATATGTAAGTCGTAAGAAGTGCAGAGTGAGAGAACAAATCCTATCATCAACTACCTATATCATTGCAATGTGTTATTCCAAATAATCAGAGGCGTCTGTGTTGGTGAAAGGGAAAAAAATGCCGTAAATACTACCATTCTATGGATGCAGGAAGGCTTACTTCTGAATAAAGATGCCTAGTATCATACTGCACATAAGAGTCTCCACCAATATACGAAAGGATTGTGCAACAGTCATGGATAGATATCATCTCTGAGGGCACTGGGAAAGAGCTCTGAGTTTGATAGGAACAAAATGTGATAGATGGAGAGAGATTTTAAAAGTATTAGTGTACATTGCTCTTAAAATTCTATTTTAGTAAACATCTCATTAAGGTGCACATAGATCTGCATTTCTGTTCTAGACACACAGAGTAATATTACTTTGTATCTCATGAGAACATTTTGTTCCACGCTCTGGTATTGCAGCTAGATTTTAAAATCTAGTTTGTGTCTGTAATTGTGAAATGTGGGTGTCTGTGGTTACAGATTTTGTCATATTAGTAATTCCCAGTTCTGCTGTCCAAGGTCTCTTCCTCATTTCTACAGATACCCAAGAGAACTGGTTTCATAATTTCCAGCTTCCACAGTTCTTTACTGTCCTTAGCTAAATGTTATTATCCAATATAATTACCAAAGATTGTAAAATCTAAATTAATATTTATTTATCAGGTTCAGCATTTTCATAGTGTTTCAGTAGTTAATGACCTCTTAATAACATTGCATAAGATGTCAATTTTTTCAAGTGCTGACAAAATAGTGCAACGTATTACAGAAGCTGGATGTGGGGGGGGGGGAGGCTGGGATTTCTGTGCAGCAATAGCAAGGTTTGGGGGTGAAGAGGCAGAGTTGCAGTGGTCTATTGTGATTCATCTTCACACCAGGTGCCCTGCCCTGGAGTCTGCTGGGTTCAAGTATCTGAAAATGTGTGGCCAGGATAGAATAGAGATGCTGTTGGTCCACTTCTCACACTGTGGCTCAACAGTCTCCCTTCCTACACTGTGCTCTGGAACTGGCAACATCCATAGTGAGACTGCTCTTTCAGGAGCAGCTCAGGACTTCCATGCTGACCATGGACGTTATCACACCAGGGGTCTCAGAGAGGCAAGAAAAGCTGCCTGGAATCAATCCAGCACCATTCCGGAATGGACGGAATGGTGCAGGATTGATTCTGGTCGCGGCAGCCGTAATTCCTGAAGATGCCCGGAAATCAAAAGAGCTGCAATGATGCAGGGATGATGCAGCAATGATGCAGGGATGGGCGGGGTTTGCCGCGACGTCGTTTGATCCCAGGATCCAAGGATCCGGAATGATGCAGGGATGATGCAGCGATGATGCAAATATGGGCGGGGTTTGCCGCGACGTCGTCTGATCACAGGGGCAAAGGATCCGGAATGATGCAGCGATGATGCAGGTATGGGGCTGCTTTAGACCCAGTGTGATAACGTCCCATGTGTCTGTCCCAAGTAATACCGTATCTATCCCTACTCATATTGTAGAGCACACTCTAGGCTTAGTTTTCTGTCCTGGGCAGGAGGATGATGATTTGGCTGTGGAGGAACATGCCATAATAATAATAATAATAATAATAATAATAATAATAATAATAATTTATATGCCGCCCAATGTTTGCCCAATCCGGGCAGTGTACAACATAAAACAATTACAATAAAAACATATCCCTCCCCCCTTAAAACAGTATTAAACATCAACATGGTTAAAATCCTAATACCAGTTAAATAAAATAATTCTATTGGCATGGACAGATCACAGCAAAGTGGAGTTTAGATTCCTTGGGACTTGGATTCTCTGTAGTGGTGGAGGTAAACCTACTTTGGGCAACTCACACTCTTTCAGCCTCAGAAGATGGCAAGGGCAAACCCCCTCTGAAAAATCTTGCCAAGAGATCCCCATGACAGGTTCACCTTAGTGCCACCATAAGTTGGAAATAACTTGAAGGAACACAGCAACAATGCTGGAGGACTGATTAAGATGGTCCACACCAGGAGACTGATGGATCCAAATGGTTTCCTGATGGCCCTTGGGTAATTTCCTGTTGCTTTGGCATGGGTTCCTGTTAAAGCTCTGGCTGACCTTGAATGGAGAACTGGCCAAGGTGATGGACACAGTCACACCAGAGAGACCCTTCCCATGGAGTGGAGCCAAGTGAGCCCCTTGGTTTACTAGGGAGGTAGGGGTGATGAAGCAAGTATAGCAAAGACTAGAGTGTTGATAGTAAAAATAATCAGAGCAAGTCTAACCAAACACATGTCAGAGTCCATGAGAAAGCCTGTGCTGGCAGCAGAGAAATCAAGCTTATTTGCCACCATTGCATCTGCCCAGTGTTATCCAATGGAAATATCTCAAGTAGTCAGGGACCATCTATCCTCTGCTCCACAAGAAGAGAATGCAGATCACTCAACAGACTGCTATGAAGAATTTTGACAATACTTTGCAGATAAAATAATTTTAGTCCAGTGGATGTAGCCTTGGCTCCTGGTTGTCCTGTGTTATTAGACAAATTTCAATTTGTGCAGCTTGAGAACGTGGACAGAATCCTTGGAAAGGTGAGAACTGTCACATCTGTATTGGTCCCAGGTCAATACCCATGGGCTGCTCAACTATATCTACAATAAAACAGGAAATCAAATGGATAACTAGGAACCGAAAATATAGGCCCTAATATGGTACTCTGGTGATTTAATTCTATTTTAATGTTGATATATTGTATATTTTAACTGGGTTGTATTTTAATTTATTAAGTCATCTTGAATCCTTTTTTTTGAGAAAAGGCAGGGCATAAATATAGTTGTTGATGATGATGATGATAAATAATGTTTTTTGCTTATGTGCTGAACAATTCTATTTATTTTCTACAGGAAGATAAAATAGGGGAGAGAAGAAAAAAGACTTGGGTCTAGCCATTTGGAATATCTGTAAGCTATTCACACCACAGCATCAAGTTTTTTTTTTAAATTGTATATATTAGCTGTTAAATAAATGCATTATACATACGTGCAATTGAACCAAATTTGATCATGCATTTTCATCTAGTAGTTGAAAATGATTTGAAGGCACACAACAACAACAACAACAACAACGCTGGACAGCAAAAGGAAACATAAAATAAATTGTGAGTCTCAATAGCTGCTGTGTATTATCATTATTATTGTTATTATTATTATATCCACCTCTCCCCCATGGACTGAGGCAGGGAACAACAACAAACTAAAAAATATGCAACATCAGTTAAAAACAAACATCAATTTAAAGGAACAAATAAGACATATATTAAAACAACCCATATTTGAACATTCATCATTTAAAATGTACAATTTAAAACTAATTTGGATAGGCCTGCCAGTAGAGAGTAGTCTACAATGCTGTTTTAAATTTGAACAGTGTATTTAGCTGTCAAATCTCTTCTGGCAGGTCATTCCACAGTCTAGGTGTGGCTGGAAAAAAAAACAAAACCCTGGCTCATAGTTGCCAACCTAGTCCTAGCTGAGTGAAGTAAATGTCACCCAGAGACCTGAGTGTACACGGCGGATTATATGGGGGAAGTCGATCCTGTAGGTAACCTAAACCATACAGGGCTTTAAAGGTAATAGGCAACAGCCCCATAACGAATTGGCAGCCAGTGGTGTGCTTTTAATATGGTGTGATACGATCATTCCTGGATGGACCAGTAACTAATGTGGCAGTTGCATTTCGATTGACATTTCTGAACTTGGTACAGAGGTAGCCCAATGTACAGTGTACTGCAGAAGGCCAGCCTTAAGGTTAC